ACAAAAAAGAATCACAGCAAAGCCCAAGCCACCAATGGACTGGCCCTCGATGTAAGGAACCTTACCTCCATGGTCGAAGGTCACATGGGTCGTCTCCCAGTTGGCATCGCCAGTGGGTTCGGTCAAGGTCTGTGGATGCACGTCATTCTCAACCACCTTTCCCTGGTAAGGCGCTTTTGGGGAGAAGAGGTTCCATGGGATCTCCTTGCCGTGCACCACCTTCACGCCCTTCTTCTTCACCGCGGCTGCACGGCATGCGGTGGCCGCCGGACGGGCTGCCAGCAGTCCCAGCCCCAGTGCTGCCGCACCAACACCTGCAGCACCGGCAAGGCCAGGGCCGGTGGAGTCGCGGGAGCTGTGAGGGGCACCACGGAGGGCAGGCGCAGGGGCAGGGGCGGCACTGGGTGCCAAGAAGGCGGTGCTGGCACCGAGAAGGGCTCCGACGGCAGCAGCCTGGGCCATGGTATCAAATATGATGCAGCAAGGAGCTTGAGATAGGCGGATCTGCGCTGGGCGTTGGCAAAGGTTCATGGTCCTCAGACTCTGCTTCTGACTTGGAGGCACAGCAAAACCTTCAGGACTTAAATGTTCCCTTGCTCCATTTGGGTGGTTGGAATTGTGGTGTTGTGACACTCCCCTTCTCCAAAACTCTCCAAATCGCCACCTGTGACGCCTCATGTCGCAGACCTGGCGGCCCTCGGTGCCTGGCCATCGCGACTTCGGTTCGGTGCCTGGCCATCGGTGTTCATCCGGGCGTGGACTGCCAAACCAGGCGTGGCAGGGTGTCTCAAGATTGATGTCGTGGAGGGAAAGCGTTCCGCTCCCAGGAATGATTGTATGATATGTGTTTATAGAGACGAGACAGATACTTGCATGAATAAAATATGTGCATTCTTTTTGTGTGTTTTTGCATGTGCTGCTGATTTGATGGTTTTCAAATCTTGGCCATAAAAGAAACGGTGATTAAAACCAAAGCAATAGGAGAGCTGGTGCGGAATATGGTGCATCAGCTAATGTTTACCCTTTGTCTGTGGTCCAGGACATTCCAGGATCACAAGCGTTACCAACCACCTGATACGCGGTTTTCGGCAAATGCCAGGGTCTGCATCCATGATCACAGGGGCAGCACCTGAAAAATAGATGAAAACAAATAGGCTGAGTCAGTGTGAACAGCCTGCAGATCCGAAAACTGAGCACAGCTGTTGGTGCGGGCCTAGTTTCCGCCCATCTGGAACATGTCTTGCGGGATGTGCCCTGCTTGTCGACCTCATGGACTGGGTGGTTTCCAGCTGGGAGTTTCAGGCAACCTTTGCTAAGTTCTGGTTTGTCGTTGGGCACTTCCCAACATTTCCAGACGTGCCGCGCAGAAAATGTGGCGCTCAATTGTACGCCGCGAGCCATTGCAGCTCAGTAGACCTCCACATGGTACCGGTCTGCCTTCCTTGGATTGGCGGCAACTCATCTGAAATCAATGCAATAATTGGTTAAGTCACTTCGGACGAAGGGTAGTCTGTTAGGACTCCTCCAATCCGACACCGTTGGGACTCACAACAGAAAGGTCACGAATAGATCAACGTGTCTGGCCTCTATGATCTCTATGTAGCAAAGGCTTCCAGTCCGGACAGTATGGGCCCCAAAAAGGAACAACAACCGATTTGGTGGTGATCCACAATGATGGTCTGTACATGGGTGAAACGGCGAAACAAGCCAGGGACCTCTGTCTGCTGAGCGTCCAGAATGAATAAACCAAGCGGTATCTTATCCCATTTGCTTAGGATGAGGCCACAACTACATACCATCATATAGTGTGGTTTGTCCACTGCAAGCCATGTCTACACTTCAGAAAGTAGGCTGGCATGTGTGGATTGCGCGGCAACAAATTCTTCGTCTCTAGTCTCTAGTACTCATGTGCCAAGAAGAACGTTCTCATCTTGTCCAGTCTACAAGACGTCCATTGCAACTTTTACCATAAGCAACGAAGGCATTGCTTTGGAGTTTGCAAGGTAAGATAACGAAGATCCGCTGCTCTCGTGCTCATCCTGCGCTCGGCCAGCCAGTGGAATATCTAAGCTTTGTAGACAACACCCTATCTCCTATCTTTAGTATAATTTATAAACCAGCCTGGTGAATTCACCCTAGAATGTGGGTGCTCAATGACCTAAACTGGGGTCCAGGGTAGAAACCAGCCAAGCATCTTCATGGCTTTGGCGAACTCAGTCCACACGAGGCCGTTCTTCTCGGCAATGGGGCCGAAGCACTCCGCCATGCCGCTCTCCATGCCTGACTCGTCTGCACGTGGCTGGGATGAGGGGTCTCATCACAGTGGGTCAAGGGTGCATGTGAATGTGGCAGCTTGAGGGCATAGTTTGAGACCAGCGAGGTGGATCTTCTCAATCCTATCACTATCACTTGTCCATCTTTTCCGGCCAAGGCGCCCTTCAAGCCACACATGTAGACATGAGTCTTCTCATCCTGCATCAAATCCCAAAGCTCTTCAGCATACTCAGCCATCCTAGGCACAGCATCGATGGCTGAAGAGCTTTGCCGATCTTTGATGAACAAAGCCAAAATCCCCCAGTCTGTCTATCACCATGAGCCCTGAAGCCAGGTCACAGGAAACCACCGGCCTTTGGAATTGTGTCAGGGATCCAACACTTCTAATGGGAAACTTTTCCGAAGATTCACACCAATGGGAAGATCCATCGGAGAAAAACAAATAAGAATTCCCTCTGGACCATGTTAGCAGCTCCAAGTGAGACTTGCCACTTAGAATTGCTCCAAACCTGCATCGCCCACTCCCAAGCTCTCATGCTACAAAAAAGCGCCCACCGCTATATCCAGACTGTGGATTTTTGAGGATAGACCCCGTCAAATGAAAACTCCAGTAGAAAGCAGCTCTCAGATATCCCCTAACATTTGAGCCAGAAAAGGATAGAAAAGGCACAGGCGTTGGACCATTTGGGGTTCCGCAGCAGTTTGAGACAGTTACTTGGTCTGTTTGAGCCAGTCACTTGGTCTGGATGTACATCTTCTGTCCCGCAGCGTTCTTCTGCTCGCGGCTGACGGCGTAGTCGTAGCGGAACTGGTCGGGGAAGGCCTTCTTGTAGGTCTGATGCTCGTCATCGTAGAGCAAGGACTTGGAATATGGCACACCTTGGCTGAAGTCAATTCCAGCGGGACACCATGGTACTTAGACTTTAGACTTAGACTCAGACTTTTCTCTGTGAGCGTTGTCTTGCTAAGGCTGATTGCCATACCACAAAATGGGATCCAATGTTGGGGATCTGAGTCGAGAAAACGATTCATTCAACGCGTGCTTTGTGCCTCCTTGCGGGACACATCTATCTCTTCAACCAGATTTGCACTGCCTCCCCAGGTCTCTGCGTGGCCAACAGCTACAAAACTGAAGCCGGGCTCTGACCAAAGCGGGCGAGTGCTTTTGGAAAGGTTGGTCAATTGAACAGTGAGGTTGATCCATAAGCCATCAAAAGCCACTTAATCAGCTGCCATCCCAGCAAAGGAGCCCATGAAGAGCCAAGCCAGGCCCTTGAACTTGCGGTCGCCATCACTGCTGGCACCAGCCTTGTCGTGGAAGAGCAGCCTAGTCAGAGAACATCTCAAACAAAAAGCAACCAAACAAACGACATACAAGTACCAGCTACCATCCATGCTGTGGATCCCAACGGCAACCACAAAAACTGCTCATGTACTAAAAGATGGGCCCAGGAAAACTTGTCAAAACTGTAGGTTGCGGGAATGTCCCTGACAAACAAGTCCAACCACTTCTTCAATCCTCGTCCCGCACCCGGCCTCAAATAAGAACGCATGGGCGCGATGCCAGTGCCAGTGGCCAACATGATGATGTTGGCCTGCCCACCGACAACTCTGACATCTCAAAAACCACCAAGCAGACTTGGACACCTACAACCTCCCCAAATAGAGATATGCTAGAGGCTACAGGAGGAATGAGGAGCATCTCTTTCCCTATGGACGTCTGTCTGTATGTATCCGTTTTGGCTTGCGGATGCTGATCTGCCTGGGCTCTCCCAACCGAAACGTGCCTCGGGATCCTTGGGCAGCAGCATCTCTGCACCGGTGGGGCCAGTGATCAAGACCTCATCGCCTGGCGTCATGTCGCAAATGTGGTTGGAGCACACCTCAGGCGATGATGCAGTGCTGCACACCACAAAAGAAAAAGAGAAAGAGAGAGAGAGAGAGAGAGAAAAATGAGAATGTGCGGTTTCTATTTACTTGTGCTCTGAGCTAGTTTGTCACAGGGGGGCCCGCAGAATCTCGAAACTATGGAACATGTGAGGGAGATTCGCCTGATAATCTAATAGTGGTCCTTCTTTCTAGGTTCGTCAAAGATTTCATTATCAGCCATCGATAATAATCTCAAGGCCGGGACCAAATGGATATCGAGCTTTGTCCCATCCAACTTGGACAGCACATGGGTGTTCGCATGTTTTCGCAGGTTCCTCCCATGCATTCCTCATTGAAATCTCCAGCATCAAAAATGTTTGGCGTTGTCTCCCATCTAAATCAGACATATTCATCACATCTATAAAAACACTTTCTGCATCTCATGGGAGATATTGGCAGTGTGATCGAATTGATCGCTTTTGGGAAACCCATCACGCTTAATGCCCCTCGACCAGCAGCTGTTGCAAACACCTCCCCAAGAAGCCAAGGCTCGCCACGGTACACTTGGTTGTCCGGGTAGGCCGTGCCCGCCTACAGGTTTCGCAAGGAGAAAA